GTACGCGACACGTAACAGGGCCTTACATCAACCTATGGAGGAATTCTCTCGTTCCAGAGGCGCAGCTAAAAGTGGGTTCCTAATAATAACAGGCACTGGGGCTAAACAGGCAAAGTTAACACATCAGTCAATCCCAAACACAAGTTGTCCCCTGAAATCTTTTGGTGGTACAGTCAGAATAATTTCTTCTGAGGACGAGCACGTGGCTGCATGAACACATACCCCAAAAGGAGAAAATGATTGGAAGAACTAACAAACCATCCTCTCCCCAGGACCAACAGCAACTTTTCTCATGTTTTGAGTGGAGGTGTGTGCACTTTCTCCCCGCAAGGGTTTAGAACTCTCTCATCGCCATTTTGCCGGTAGATCAGGCTGTTTCTCGCTTGTGATAATAACAAATGATGATGTTACACTACTTAATAAACAAACCATAATACAAGCATGTAAATCCCAAGAACAGGGCCAAACACCGTGGTGTTCCTCTGACACTTGACTGGGATTTGCTCCACGGCTACATACAAGTCTGCTAAGCCAGCTAAGTGGCTTGCCGGGGCCGCTCTGCCCAGATGACATCATCCCTTGGCTTTCCAAACACACCTCTTTGGCTCTGGCTCTTTTGGCCTCTTTCCATGTAAACACGGCTTGATTAATGCTGCAGAAGGACCGTGAATCACGTATTCCCCTCTCGTATGGGAAGTCAGAATGTCAATTTTTCCTCATTTCGAGCACACAGCATTGGGATACTCAATGTGCCATCTCTAGCAACAGAGTAGAAACGGCCGTGGTACCTGGCTGCCAGCCCCGCCATGCACTTTGTGTAAGAGCAGCTGATGCATCGCCCGCTGGAAGACCTGCCCCTCAACACAAAGCTGCATTCACAGGTCTGACCATTATGGCTGGATCACAAGCACATGACGAGGCTGCCCTTTGATGCAAAGGCAAAGGGAATAAAGAAAAGCCCTGGCTGTGCCTCCAAGAGCCTACCTGGTTAACATGAGGGTGTGGGTCAGTTATGCAGAGTCGGCTGTTGGGTAGAGAATACTCCTATATGTGAATAGCTTCTCTGGGTTCACTAACAGCGCAGCTTCTGAGAGCTGAACGTGACAAGTGTTCAAATAATAAAACCATAGCAAACTGATACTGTGTTTACTACGGTTCCCTCCTCGCTTGGAAAAATTAGGAAACTATAAAGCATGAAGGGCCTTTCTTCTTCATTCCTCCCGCATTACCTCCAAAAAAAGATTTGAACATTGCAGGGATATATCACATATTTCATGAAATTCTTCCAGAAAACTGTATTGTTTTCCATTTTGATAAGCCCCGAAAGGAAGTAACGTTATTACCTTGACTCTGAAGGTCAATTAAACTAAAACTACTCAAATCAGTCCAAGGGAGGAAGTAAATTTCCATGTCAACTCCAAGGCTAATGTCTTTCTAATGAGATCCACAAAAAGGCCGAGCTTGTATATTCAATACTAAAAGGGAACAAACAAGTGTTCAGAAGTTAGCAAATTATTCCAATTCTTTGAAAGGGCCTCAAGATTTTAGAGTTCTCGTCCAACAGTGCGCACGCGCACACACACACACACACACACACACACACAGTCTACAAAGAGTCTAGGAATAGGTCATTCAGAGGAGGGATTTCACTGATCTGGTCAGACGTCAACTGAGAGTTCACAGCCTTCTAAATAATTCATAAAATGGACTTGGAAAACTAAGTCACTAATCCAGCGAGAGATAATTTGCTTAGAAGCTCACATATGAAATAAGCAGAGATGGCTGTGGTCACTGCCATACCCTCCTGAGAAGAGAAGTGGCAGCCTGGGGTCCCTGTGCCTCGGGGAATCCACAGTCACACCCTTAGGATTCTTAGTGCTCCCTCGATGTTTTCAGGAGCCCTCAAGGCCCCAGGCTCTGCCTTACAGATAAAGTGGCTGCAAGATTCCCTCATCTTGCACAAGACCAAAGAAACACGGATACCCCATTGCATAACATCGGCTTTCACTGCCTCAGTGCAACACAATTAAAATGATTTCATGGAGGCAACCGAAGTATTTTCCCACACCAAATTCCAAAATTAGAGTGAAAATGCCCTATTTTTAAAATCTGATGTTGGTAAGTAGAATTTCTAAGGTTCAAAGCCAAGCATAAGTGAAGACCTTTGGCTTTCTTCTCCACTGGGCATTTTTAAGGAACTGCTAAGGTAAAGAAGCAAAATGTGAAACTAGAAATAATTGAGATGTGGATTTGGTGAGAACATAAAATTGTTAATGTCATTCTAACCAGTTGTTTTTACATATAGATATCAGCTGTGGGTTATTATTTACTATAACAATATTACTCATAGATCATATTACAAGGAAACAAGGATGTCCTCATTCACTCTCGGTATTTAGAATCTTGGTCTTACTTGAAACTCCCAGAAAGGACCCAAAGACCAGGCACAATTTTGTTTTCTTTGGGAAATAAAGTGAAAGTAAATTACAATATTTTCCACATTTTATTTGAAGTATTTTGTCTTCTGCTTGTTCACGAAAGCCATTATATAACTTTGGTTGCAGTTTTCAGGAATTCAGAAAGTCTGGGTACTCACCTTCTTTGGCGAGTTCAGGTACTCACCTGCCCCATGTGTAAATGGTTTATTAATGAACTCTCTGATACCTTCTAAGTCAAGGATTCTAAAGTCATCTAGCATATGGTATCCCTTAGATTTGGTTAAGCTGCATATAATAAATTAATTAATAAAAAGTAGTGGTTTTAACAAGACACCAATTTATTTTTCTCTCACCTAAAAATAAGTCTGGAATTAGGCAGACTAAGGCTGGTCCTGTGGCTCCACAACCATCGGTGTCCCAAACTCCTTCTATCGGCTACTCTACCCATCTTTAGCATGTTGCCAAATGGTCTAAAATGGCTGCCAACCATCAGACTTTACATCTGCATTCCAATCAGGAAAAAATGAGGAAGGAAGAGAAGGATAGATGACACTTACTGTCAGGGCTTATTAGCTAGAACTGAGACATACAGCCACACCAAGTTGCGAGGGAAGCTGGAAAACACAGCTTTATATGGGATGGCTATATACACAGCTAAGACAGCACATTTTGACTTGGGGAAATAAAGAGAAAATGTTTTTAAAAAGACAACAGCAGTTGCTTCCACCAATTTCAAATACGCCAACAGTTAACATCTGACTTTTTTTCCTTAAAACATTAAAAGTATGTCTATTTCAAAGATAATGTCAGAGAAAATTAGTGTAAAAATAATATAAATGTATAAATGATTGATAGTGTATGCACGTATAAATAATAAATGTTAACATATAAATAAATTAGTCTATAATATGGTATCACTGTGGCATATTCTTACTTATCCAATTATTACAGCTAATCATTTAAATTCAAATAAAATTCTTCCTTTCATGTTGTTTAATATTAAGAGTTTAGAGTAATTGGAAAAGAATGCAAATGTAAAATAAAGTGGAAGAGAGGCAGACATAATAATTAGTGAAGTAGGTTATGGATTTGAGTCTGACCTGAGTCTTGGCCTTGGCCTTGGCCTTGCCACTTACTTGCTCTGTGACTTTGGGCAAGTACCTCAACCTCTCTGATCGTGTTTCACTGTCTATGAAGTGGAAATATGTGTTTGACTGGGAGGGCACCCAAGTCCCTAATTACAAGGCTGGATAAAATGTACTCAAGAGAGCAATGAACCCAGGCTACGGACCTTGGGGAGGGAAAAGGGGCAGAGAAGGCTAGTAGTGACAAAGTGAGAAGCACTTGAGCCAGGCTGACTAGAAAACCTAAATGGAGAGAGGTGAGGAGTTGGGCAAATTGCCTGAGAGGCTCCAGCACATGACCTGGATGAAACGATTTCTCTTACATGTTGAAGTTTCTCTTTTTTTTTGAGTGATGAGCACATTCTTTTTTTTTCTCTTTTTTTTTTTTTTTTTTTTTGCTGGGAAAGATTCACCCTGAGCTAACATCTATTGCCAATCTTCCTCTTTTTTTTTCTTTTCCTCCCCAAAGCCCCAGTACATAGCTGTATATTCTAGTCATAGGTCCTTCTAGTTCTTCTATGTGAGCCACCGCCACAGCATGACTACTGACAGACAAGTGGGGTGGTTCTGCACCCAGGAACTGAACCCTTGCCCCGAAGCACAGGGCAAGCTATGAAAGTTTCTTTTAAATCAGGAAAAGGTTTAAACCAATCCCTTTTTCCTTATATCAAAGGTCACAAATTTTAAAGTATGTACGCTCCAAGTAAATAATGTTCCATGTAGCCCAGAGACTATTCCAGTGACCAGCGTTACCACAATTTCAACTCAGACTAAAAAAGTTGCAGCAGCAGACTCCCCTCCTTACTGGGTTAGAATGAACCACGTGGTTTTTGCTCCTTGCTAAATGTGGGTGCACTTTTAAGTGCCTAAATCGAGACTTTGAGGGCAGATACATATCAAGAATTTGGGCATGCGTTAAGGCAGGATCTGATTACCAAATGCAAGTGTATTTGAAGCCCAGCAACCCACCAACTCATCAACCAACTCATGGAATGTCCACAACGGCCCAGGTGAGAGTCAGTCCACAAAGCCATCGCAGGAAAGCAGGGGAGCTTTGTTTATTTGTTTGTTTTCAAGATTTTCAAGATTTCCTGTGCTATCACTGTTCCTTGAGTCAGAGAGCTCAGTCTCTACAATTTAATCATGATTTTGTCCCTTCCTATACACACGTGACCAACAAGCAGAGTAGAATATAAGTATCTCTTCAAAAATAGAGGAAAGCAGAATCCGTTTTAAAAGGGAATCAGTGATTAATAGACCTCATCTTTTCTTTCTAGCACTTTTCTTTATTCATTCGTCAAATATTTATTAGGTACCTGTCCGATGCTGGACACGGAGCTAAGATGGATGATATAAGGACTTCCTGCCCTCAGGGGGCTCATCTCTGGGCGAGGAGAGGCTCCGTGTGGACCAATAGTGACACAAACACAGAACTTACCTTAATTGTCCAGAGTAGAATGATTGGAAACATGAAAGGCAGTATTATGATGATTAGGAGGGCGCTGAACGGCATCACAAAGTTTGGGGCATTGAGTTCCACCTTTTCCACTTACTTCCAAGTTGCATAACCTTTCTAAGCTTCATTTTTCTCATCTATAAAATGGGAAAATAAAAATATCAACTCTATAGGTTTGCTTCACTGTCTGAAGTAGGACAAGAACTCAATATTTTGTTGGCCATGTTTATTATTATATTGTCATTGGTGATATTGTTATTAATGTTGTTAATCAAGAAAGATCCAGAAGGAAAGACTTGAAATGACAGTGTACTCAAAGGAAAGATGAGCTGTTGCTAGAAGAGCATCTCTTAACTGTGACCACTTGACAACAGAAGACTAACCCAAAAAAGTCTTGAAGGTCCTGGGGTGGTAGAGACCGGGCATCCTGCATCAGCAGAGGCATTAAGGGAAAAGAATAAATGGTTTGAAACTCCTGCTTAAAGTTCTCACAAATCGTTTTGCGTTGGGGAAAAGAGGAGGTGGAGGTTGCTGTGACATGAGCTTGTTCTCCATCCAAACCTCTAAGCCATTTGAATCTCTGGATTTCTAAATATAACTTTGAGAAAACTAATCACACATTTTCGATGCGGATGAATTACTTAGTTTCCGCATTAAGCACATTGAGCTAGTTAACATTTCATCCTACATCTTGACCACAAACAGTACTAAAAGCAATGCCATAGAAAACAATTTTACTCTGAAAATTGTGGGGGAGAATTTCTCCCAATGACAAGGAATAGGAACATTCTATATTTATAGATAAGCCTGTTCAATAACCGGATTTTTCATACTCCGTGTTCTTTCCTATAAGGAAGTCAGTCGCTGCTCTCTAAGCTGCTCACATGGGGTGGCTTCTGCTAATGTTAAAAGTATGAGTCAGTATTTTACCCACAATTGCCACATTTCAAAACTAGAACGCAGCTTTTAAGGAGCAGCCAGGAATTCAATAGTCCAGAATCCAAACTTTCAAGACAGACCACTTTGTAAGTTTATGGCTAATTATCTCAAGAACTTGAAATAGGCGTTTAAATATTTGAACATTTAAGAAGCGCTGGAAGTGTTCACTACTGGATCTTCGGCCACCTCTCCCGCTCTTCCCCACCCACCCTCACACCCCACCAACCTCCTACCCTGGCAAATTTCTACTCATCAATAGTCACAGAAACACAGATTTTTAACAGGGATGCTTGAAATGGTGGGCTGCTGAATGATCACCACTGCTGGTGCCTGGACCTTCAGAATGTAGGGGTGTGTGTGCACACACCTCAAGATGCTTGCAGCGGGCAGTGACACAGAGAGGCAAAGAGAGAAAACAGCAGCTTACCCTCTTGTTCTAAAAACATCTAAGTGGTCTGGACACATAATTAGCCCACAAACCACCATTGCCACCATTATCAGCAATTGGAGACACCCCCACCGTTGATCTCATCTCTAACGACACACTTTGTCCTTTTCCTCACTCATCTATTCATTCTCAAGCAACCCTCTGAGGTCAGGCACTGGGCTACTGGGTGGAGATGCTTGTTCAGACCTGGTTCCTGCCCTCCAGGCACTTGTATCCCGCTGTGGGAGATAGATATTAATCAAATGACCACACAAATAAATATTACATTGCAACTGTAAAGGAACAAAGCAGAGGGAGATGTTGCTATGGAAACTGAAAAGGAAGACTTTGACTGAGGAAGGTTGGGGATGGTTCCCCTGAGGACTGGAGTCTTACCTGAAGGATGAGTAAGAGTTACATAAGGGAGAAACGAAGAGGATTTCAAGCAGAGAGAAGACCACAGCAAAGGCTCCGTGGCTGGAGCAAGATGTGAGAACAAGGGGCAGAGAAAAGGGGGGAAGTGACATGAGATGAAATTGGGGAGGCAGGTGCAGACCACACAGGGCCTGATGCTCACATCTGTTTGTCCTTTATACAGGAGCAATGGAAAACCACTGAAAGTTTTCAGCAAAAGGGTAGCCTGATCAGAGTTATGCGTGGAAGATTGTTCTGGCTCCAATAAGAAAAGGATAAGAAGGAGAGGGTGGAAAGAAGAATAGATGTAATAAATTCATCTTAGGAGGCTTTGTGACTTCTTTGCTGTGTCATGTGCCCTTGATTCATCTATTCATGCTATACGTTTTTATTGAGCACTTACTTACTATGTACCAGACATTGTTCTAGACCTGGGAACAAAAGTAACAGCTCAACCAGATGGAGTTTAAGTTTAAAGAGCGTTCCATTTACCCCAGTTTCACATATACAAAATTATTGGGACAGAAAAAGGAAGAGCTGGATGGGTTTCTCAGGTCCAAAATTCCTATATGAAGACCATACTCATAGGTATAGGGGGGATTTTATATAACTTAAAGAGGGAAAGGATGGGTAAGATTCCAGGCAAGTCTGCTGACTGTGCCACTGATGTGTTGTGTTATCCTCCAGAGAGGAATCTCGACAAGTAAAATTGAGAACAATGGTCTTCCAACTTATGGATTCTCCAAGGCATTACACCACAGCCTTGGACCACTCTCCCTATGGATTCACAGCTGTCAAAACCAAATTGTCATTTCCCTAGGGTATTATCCTTCCACTCAATAGATTTCAAAAATTTATCATGCTTTGTCAAAGGAATATATACACATTGTCTCAAAAGGTAAATATTACTACAAATCCTAGAAAAACAACCAAGCTCCTTTGCCCCAACCCCTCAATGGCTGAATTCCATTTCCTGGAGCCAACCACTCAAAATTTTGCAATTCTTTTGTTGTTATTTCTAGTATTTACCTTCATGTCCATAAATAATACATTGTCATCTCTTCATTTTTCTTTTTTAGTCATCATCTGTTTTGACTTCCTATTCTGACTCCCTTCCAAGACCACCCTACTTCCCCTCCCTGATCCTTCCAAAGAAGTCTCATTATAATTTTGGTTAAGTCAGAATTTAGTATTCACCTTATTCTTAGGCAAAAATTTTCAAAGTTGAACACTACTAGGATACGCTACACTTGTGTTCCCTTTTTTGATTCAAGTTTTCTTTTTTTCCTGGAGTTAATGATTGCATGTGTTTCAATTGCTTAGTTTTCTATGACCCTATCACTACCTTAAACCTGAACCATCTTGGAGAATCCCAAAATTTCTCTCATAATCTTCAAACACAAATAAATTTTATTTTCTTGGAGACATTCCTCCTCCAGTCTTCCTGCTTCAATATGGAGGCTCTTCTCCTGGCTGCTCCACAGCTGACATCCTGGCAAATGCCCTGGGGGTTCCCTTCTCCTCTCTGTTTGGTTGCTCCCTCTTTCCTGGTTCCCAGGCCTTCCTCTCTCTTGCTATCTTCACCTTACTTGGTGAGCACCTCATCCAGGAGCTCTGTGGGAAGTAACATTTTTGAGAACTTGCCTATCTGAGAAATATCTCCATAACATTTGCATGTTACAATTTACACTTGAAAAGTCCCCTCCCATTCATCACCTCATTTCTTCCTCGCTGTAGCTTCGTAAAATCTTACCCCCAGTTTCAGCTACTGGGACAGGTAAGGTGACTAACCCAGGCCCATAGCTCCTCAGAACATGAGGGTAAGTGGTCTCTGCCACCACCTCTGTGAACTGCCCAGGGCAAGTCAAATAGTGGGATTACAAAATATCCATGCTAACAAGTAGATGAATTTAACACATTAATTAACCAGGCAACTGCCAACAAGTACATTCTACATTTATAGGACTATCAGCAATGTGAGGGTATGGGATTGAAGACTGGATCTTATAAGCAGAAAAATGCTCATGGTCCAATAGTATTGAAGCAAAATTGTTGCAGAAAAGGCAGTTTTGTGAGTAAATTATGGAAATTATCAATGATGTAGATGCAGTCTCCACTGCCCCCGCCCCGTCAGAACCCCTCACTTCTGTCCCAGTCTCTTTGATTTCTCACCTCTGAACCAATGCTCTGGTTTAGAATGACTTGAAAGCAGATGTCCTGAGCAAAGATACCAAGGGGAAGGAATGTCACAGTGCAGCCATACAAATTCATGTCTCTGAAAGGCTGAACAGATGGCAACGAGTGTCCCTTACTCTGTGGTGAGGACGCTTGGCAACAAAAAGTACGCTGACAAAAGTGGACTTGGTTTCATTGCTCCCTCCTTTGACAACAACAACAAAACCAAGATCTCCATTGTGTATCTGTTTGTGCCTTGGTTACAGGAATGACAACAACTGCTTCCTTTGAGAAGTGGGATTTATCTTCCCTACCTTAGACTGCCTGCCTGTCTAGCTTTCTTGAGAGATGCAGAAATTTAAAACCTGGTTGTAGCTGGCAGTCTGAGCCCTCTCTCCCCCACTTGAAACAAGAGTCACAGAGTCATCATCTGTCAGAGCCTGAAAGGACCTTAGCCCTTACCTTGTACATCCCACCTTTCACACACGAAGCCAGGGGCTAGGGCTACAAGTCTCACCGAGGCCCACACACCTGGAGAGGGGCAGTGTCAGGACCAGAACTCAGCTCAGAGTTCTTTCTTTGGTCTTTCATTATTTTAATGGCCTCTTCCTATACAAACAACTTCTAAAAAGCAATAAAGCAACATTTGGGTAAAAATGAATGAATGAAATTCAGATGTGTCATCCAAGAATCAAGGCTATAATTGAACAATTTGGTGAGCTTCATCTTTTCTTGATGCAGGCAAAACCTTGCCTTCTGATTTCCTCTGTCCCTTTGACCTCCGTACAAGGGCATCAGCTGGAAAAGGAGAATGTTCAATGTAGACAGATACTTCACATACTCAGTCTACACATCCGAGTGTCATCCTCTCCCACCGGCATTTCCCAGTCCTCCCTCCACAATTCTCCACAGGAAGACAAAACAAACTGTTGACTGTTTTATTTTCCTCTTTAAAAAGCTCTTTGAATTTCCCAAATCACCCATCGCTGCTCTTCCTTTCACCCCACCTATGCTGCCCTGCCCCTCTCTGTTTGCTGGTAGACTGCGAGGCTCATTTTTCTCATGCAACACCAACACAACCACTGCAAAAGCCATTTGGGTTTACAGAAAGAAAGTGCCAGATATTTTGTGGATGGGACCTCAGCAGCATGCTGTAAGCATCTGCTAAAGCAAGCCTCAAAAACGATTTAACTCCAGGTGAAGGAGAGCCGTGCAGCAGAGCCAGTCACGGAACAAGAAGAGGCATGTGGGACAAAGCTGTTTCACAATTTTCCAGGTCTGATACCAGATCTCACGGCGCTCTCCTCCAGACACCGGGCCCAAGACCCCTTAAGGGCTGTTACTACAGCTACAATTTTTGCAAATACCAAATAAATGATGATTGAGGTATATGTCAAACTCTATCACCAAAACAAAAGTGTTTGTGTGTGCTTTGCCGTGTGCGGCCTTGTGACTGCACTTTTTTATCTATTCAAATGTTGACTGCGTGTTTTACGGTGAGTTTACTTGAATATGATTTATTTAACCTTTGCAATAAAAAGAAACCATAACTCAGGAGAAGACAAAAATGATGCCTGCCGGGATTACTCTCCTTAAACTGGTTTATTTCTTTTTAAATCACAAAAACACAAAGGCCCCGGAGTCTCTGATAATGAACATAATATATGATTGCCATAAAAAGTTCACTCTCCTTTCAATTTCAATTTACCTCACTATAAATCAGCGATCCACTTAATCAAATATTCTTCCACTTTAATTGTTTTATCTTGCTTTTACGTTAAATCTCACTGAGTTACCGCTGGCACCAGTCTTCACATTATAGAAAAAATGTCAGTCGTGGGCCCATAATTAGTCTAAAACTCAAACATTGGTTCTGAACATTAAGCAGATCGGAGGAAGCCCTCACAATCTCACTGGACCAGTGAGACAAATCCAAGTCAAAAAGTAAACCAGGATTAGTCAAGCTAGCCATCCATCTGCTGTCAAAACCCAGAGTGTAGGCCCCGGCTTTCAAACTCACTGGAATTTTTTTTTTTCGTAAATGTCTTTCATTATTATCTTATAGGGCATTAAAACCCTATTTGGTTGTCTCTTAAATGCTCCAGCCTGAAACTGTTCGTTTAAGAATTGCCGATGCTTGCCTGAACTAGCCCAACTGTTCCCACGAGAAAAATATATCAGCACAATGTAATGCGTAAGGCCACAGGCAAACTCCAGCTTCGTGGGGAAGGGCATTTCCTGGGTATTGTACAAGACAAGAACTGTCCCCAGTGGGTAATCCGGTCCTGTAAACAAGGAAGAAAAAAAATGAATTCCATGTTATTGATTGATAAACTCCTTTCTGACAAGGTGTATGGGGACAGCCTGACAGAAGCAGTTCTGTTGAATTCAAGGGCCCCAATCAGATGCTATTCGGACACATCTTTCTCGAACGTAATCCTTGACCTTTAAACAAATACCCGATAGAATGTTTTTAAGTTAAAAGTTCTTAAATCTTTTTAAATAAACTGAGAATGAAGATATATCCAAACCAGCCCGTCTGCTTTATCCAATAAATGTAAATATTTCCAAAGCAAAGAAGCTTCCTGGGGAGTTTTATATACTTATTTTGAGTTTCATAGATGAGCCATAGAAAGTAGAATTTATTCGGGGGCTAATGAAGCCACGTGCTGTTTATGCGGCTTTCTGAAAAGATCTGTATTTTAGTATTTGCTTGTGTCTTGACTTGTTTTATAAAGGACTCGAGCAAATTTAAAACTTTTTTCACTTTAGCTCTCTAGCTCAAAAATAAAATATTTTTCATATTAACAAAAAGCTAAACAATTTTTCTTAAAATCTGAGAATGAAAAATAGCTTAAACTCAGTCAGGAAATGTTAACTTTATTTCAGGCATAGCTAAAAGCATCAGTCAGTGTCAAAAGGTTTTTTTTTTCTTAAAGGCATTTTTACAAAGGTAAAAAAATCTATTGTTAAAATGCTATCTGAGTTCTAAGATATCAAAAATGTTTAGAAAGAACTTGAAGAAGCATGAAAAACTTATTTACCAATAAATCCCACCTATGAAATTGTTTGTAAAGTTTTGTGATATGTTATTACAGTAATTATTTTTATTTTCAAACTTATCCAATTAGACAGGTGTGGTGAAACAATATATATTAAATATATAGATATAATTATCACAACAGAATGAATCTAGAAAAAAAAGACATGAAAAACATCCCATTAAAGAAAAAGCCTTTATATGGGACACTATTCACATTTCTGCAAATGGAATTTTCTGATTAACTACCATATATTATATTGTTTGAATAACTTTAAGAAAGATTAATTCCCAAGCTCTATTCTTGGCAATATTTTTTCCTGGCTGAAATTGGGCTTTAAAACAAAACGTCAGCAATGCAAGCCGACGGTTCAAGTTCCAGGTTCAGAAACTTCGAGAGCAGGCAGTTAAAAGTGATTTAAGAAATGCAAAATCATTCTTTCACCAATGTGTATGTTAAACTTGTAAATTGATATATCAAAACCACCCCGGGAATATAGCAATTTGTCTCTCTTTGCCTGCTGTGGTGTATTCCACAGCTGCCTGCCAGATAATATACTGATTGTAACTTTCCTAATTTACAGAGCCTTTAAGTCTAATCTCCTGGGCCAGCCTAAAGGGCTTCTTCATCCGTTGAAATGCCGGAATAATTGAAATTGTCTTCAGCAGACAGTCAGGCAATAATGAATATTTTCTCTGCTGATTGTGTGCCAAGGTTACACATAGTACCACAAACAGAAGTGATCCCAAGCCAAGACTCCCGAGGGAGGGGCCACCGCTAACCTGTGGCATGAGGCACAATACCAAGGCTTCCCCTCCTCGCAGGCTCCTGCAGTCAACGACGCCCACCAGGCTTCTCTACACTGAAGGACACACACAGTTGCCAAGTGAACAATGCTCCTATCGCTTCCTTGACTCTCGAGGGGCAGATTCAAGGCTGGGAAAGGTTGTGGGTACGGATTTTCTGATGGGGGCAGCAGGAGAGATGAGCGGAGGAAGCTGCTTTCGGGATTCAGAGGAAATTCACAAGTACTTAATCAAAAGCCGGGTGCTGTGGATGCATGAGAAGACGCTAGCTTGTCAGCCCTCAACAGTCTTTCCCATACCTCTGAATGGTTTTTGTGAATGCCAGGAGCTGTTTCCTAATTTAGAGTCAGTCCTGCTTTGTGGGAGTCTTAAGGATGCTCCGATTGAAATTAAAGCATTCAGCAGCCAAAGTGAATCAGCAATATCTTTGGAAACAATCTAAAGACTAGTTTAACCTTTGGCTATGGAAAGGTTAACATTTTAAATGCCAACAAGTTTGAAATAGATCTTTTATTTAAGCAACTAATCTTGGATTATTGGTGTTCCTAAGACTTGCTGTATAGGAGGAAATCTGGGGATGAGAAAAGAGGTACCTGAAAACATTATGTGTTTAAACCACACAGCAAAAGGTAGATATATTTTTTAAAGGCATTGCAAGTTACATGGGGGAAAAGAGTATAAACCAGCTATTTATGTGACACCTGAGTTGCAATATCTGCATTACTAACTAATTGTGTGCCAAATATATGGAATGCATATTAGTTATCTACCGCTGTTTACCAAATTACCCCAAAATTTTGCTGCTAAATGCAGCCATGAACATTTATTATCTCCCACAGCGTCTCTGCGTGAGGAACTCAGGAGCAGTTTAACTGGCTCCTTCTGGCTCAGGATTTCTCACAGCTTGCAGTCAAGCTGGTGGTCATGGTTGTATCATCTGAGGACTGGACTGGGGTGGGAAGATCCATTTCAAGGGGGCTCCCCCACATCCCTGGCCAATTAGTTCTGGTTGTTAGCAGGAGATCTCAGTTGTTTGCCACGTAGATCTCTTTTAGGGCTACTGAAATGACAACGGCATTATGACATGGCAGCTGATTTTCCCCCAGTGTAAGTGATCCAAGAGAGAGCAAGGCAGAAACCACAATAGCCTCTATGCCTAGCTTCAGAAGTCACACATTGACATTTCCACAGTATCTTCCAGGCTACACAGTCAGCCCTGTTTCATGTGGGAGGGGACCACATAAGGACATGAAAACCAGGAATTGCCATTGTAGAGGCTGGCCACCACGCATATCTACTATACAAT